CAGAAACCACCTGACAATCTTCATCTTGACACTGTTAGCATCAACACTGCTCTTGCATTGAGAAAGTTCTGGAAACCATCTCACGGGGTTAATCTTGCGACTACTATGAGCACTTCTTTCGGTTAAAGAATCCATGGCAGGAAGATACGTTACGACAACCTAACTGGCGTGTAGAAGTGATTATGGCGTCACTTAGATTAGAGGAGACTCAGTGTTAGCGCGAGAAAGTGCGTCAGAAGACGACCGGACGAGCGTCGCTAACGCGGGGGTAAACTCCTTAAACACGAAATCGCGAAAACTGGGAAAGACGACAACCTATCTGGCATCTGGAAATGACGATGGCGTCACCTACAATAGCGAAGACTCAGTGTTAGCGCGAGAAAGTGTGTCAGAGGACGGCCGGAAGAGCGGCGCTAACGCGGGGGTAAACTCCTTGAACACCAAATAGAAACAAAAGGAGAACACTTGCTACTGCGACCCCCGTCAAGAATATCAATGGCAATTTGGGATTTTCCACCAACAGATTTTAGAAAAGTAGAATTCTTGAGTCGTTGGCGACAAAATTTCAGAGAGCCTGGACTGTCAGAAACAAATAATTTTGAGCGCCAGCTACTAGGATCCCGTCAAAAATATTTTTAACATTTGACAAATTCCCGCTAAGGATCCCGTCAAGAATATTTTTAACATTTGACAAATTTCCGCTAGGGATCCCGTCAAGAATATTTTTAAGATTTAACAAATTCCCGCCAAGGTTTTCGCAAAAGTCCAATTTTCAGACCGTTAGCGATAAAAGTTCGCAGAGGCTCAGCCAGGACTCCGGTAAAACAAATCATTTCAACCTCCCAGGCAGTGGGACCGTCGTCAAGAATGTCGTTAAAAGTTTAGAATTTCCCGCCGACGGTCGTCTTCAAGATTGGAATTTTGAAGAGCTACCGACAAAATTTCGGAGAACCACGACCCGGTAAAACGACACATTCTAAACGTCAAGCGCCCGCTTGCACTTTCACTGGTTCCCACCTGTGTTAAATGCAAAATTTAATTTATTGGAGACCAAACCGTGAAAATTTTGAAAACCCCGCTACAAGTTTCTTGAATTTTGAGAAAGACTCCGCAAGGTCGGGAGCGGCAAAAAGAATTTCAAAAAGGACAACAATCGTTGAGTGTCGTTGTTGCTCAGAGATCAAATAGACAAATACAAACAGAGAGAGAGAGAGAGAAAGCAGCGTCTAGCGTCGTCGTAGTTGCTTAGAGGTCGTGATTGCAGTGTGAATCGTCCTTAGTATGAAACACACAAATTTACAATCAGAGAGAGAGAGAGAGAGAGAAAGAGAGAGAGAGAGAGAGAGAGAGAGAGAGAGAGAGAGAGAGAGAGAGAGAGAGAGAGAGAGAAAAACTGTATTTGATCATTCCGCTGTAAGGTACAGTCTTTCGATGGGCGAAATAGAACAGGAGGGAGAGAGAGAGAGAGAGAGAGAGAGAGAGAGAGAAAGAAGAACTGTATTTGATATTTCCGCTGTAAGGTACAGTCCTTCGATGGACAGAATAGAATAGTTTTTGTTAGAGACAATCTGATTATTCGTTCGTCAAAGTAATGTACAACGAAACTTTGCGTCCACAACCGAGGCTAAAGATATAGCCCGATACTTCTGATTCAAGCAATACTGACTGCGAAATGACTTTGCGTCCACAACCGAGGTTATAGATATAGCCTTATACTTCCGATTCAGGCAACACTGACTGCGAAATGAAAAAAAAATAGACCTTGAAAGGTCAGAGAAGAACATGTACTATTGGAGGAGGAATTTGACACAAACGCTAGGATTGTTTTTCGACACAAACGCTTGAAGGATTGTTTTTCTCATTTCGTCCTCTACCTTGCATGGGTGTTTCGGATCTAATGATTTATTAATAAGTTGTCAGATTTCTTGTAATTCTGTCATTTATTTAGATTGTTCTTTGACATTTAGAGGATTGTTTATTTATTTCGCTGTCTTTGTTGTGTGAATCGGAGTTGTAACACTTTATCTAGAACCTTGGTGAACACTACATGTTCTTCTCCGACCTTTAAAGGACTAGTTTTTTTCCATTTCACTTTCAATGTTGTCTGATTCGGAACTATAGGGCTATATCTCTAACGATTGTTGTGAAGGACAGTTTTCTTTTCGTGTTCTTCCTTCACAACCACGGTTAGAGATCTAGCCCTGTAGTTCCGATTTAGACAGAAATGAAAGCGAAATGGAAACAAAACTAGTCTTTGAAAGGTCGGAGAAGAACATGAAGTGTTCGCCAAGGTTCTAGATAAAGTGCTACTGTTCAGATACAGACAACAAAAACAACGAAATGAAGAAAATAGTCCTCGAAAGGTCAGAGAAGGAACTCAAAATGTACGACGTGGAATTTTTGTCAAGGACTTATCTTTCTTATTTGTTTTTGTTCCTTACCTTGATAAAGGGATTTAGGATTGTAGGTGCAACCTGCCTGAATTGTCTCGTTTATGTCTTTCGCAAAGGTCATTGTAGGTCTGTTCATCCATCTTCTTAACACCGTCCTCCTCCTAAGCCAAGGTTACAGACACAACCCTCAAAGTTCAGACAAGAACGACACCAAAATGGTAGAAATACTCCTTTAAGGGTCGGAAAAGAACCCATAAAAATCCAATATCGAACAAGATATGTTCTTTTCCGACCCTTAAAGGAGTTTTTCTACCTTTTTACTGTCGTTCTTGCGTGAACTTAAGATTATAGGGCTCTGTCCGCATTTTTTCTTTTTTTTATGTCTAAGCCGTCTACAAAGGGTTTGACTGCCCGAGCGAAAGAAATTGCGATGAAGAGAACCCCCGGGCGTCGGTGCTCCGCTGCAGGAGGGACAACTCCGAACTTATGCTTTTGGGGCCAGACGGGCTGACGCAATTGACAGTCGTGTGTAATTTTGGCTGAGGAGGAGGACGATCTAAAGAAGACTGTATTCTGGATTCGTTCTCTTCCTTGCCTGGATGTAAGGATTGAGGACTGTGTTAGTAACCTGCCTGATATGTTATATTTGGTCATTTCCTAGGAGGTGCCCGCATCCTTAACCTCCAGCTTTGTTCTTCCTCCTCCTCACACAAACACACAAAGCCTTACCATCTTCCTCCGGCTCCTCCAAGTCTCCTCTTCCTCCTTGCCATGTTCTTCCTTCCTCCTCCTCACACAGATACACACAACCTTGCACTGTCATCATCTTACTCCTCTTCCCCTCTCCTTCTCCTACTAGTCCAACTCCTTACCATCTTACTCTTCCTTTCTCCTCCTCACACAGACACACACAACCTTCCACTGTCATCTTCTTACTCCTCTTCCCCTCTCCTTCTCCTACTAGTCCAGCTCCTTACCATCGTACTCCTCCGCTTCCCCTCTCCTTTTCCTACTTGCCATCTTCTTCTTCCTACCATATTCCCCTCCTTCCCACATTCCCCACACCTTCTCCCTCCCTCCCGTCCCGAATTCCAGTCAGTCTGCGTCCACGCCTTCGTCCCCCTCTTCTTTTTGTTTTTCTTTTTTTCTCTATTTTCAAAAAGGGCGACGGTCTTGAGATAACATCATTGAGGTGACGGGGCCCCCGGGTTACGCGAAGTTCGCGCTTCGGGCAACCGGATCTGGAAGGCTAGCGCCACCAGCCTTTCCAAAAACAAAAATCAAATTGGCGCTTCGGCGGGAAACGGCGCGCAGGGCACTTCCAGGGTCGGCTGCGATAGCTGGGCCAAGTACTGGTGGTTCATAAAAAAAAGAAAAAAGAATATTTGGTTTTCCTCATGATATTCCAGCATCTGGGTTCAAACACGGGTGGTGTACCCACTGAGCTAGGCTCTTGGGTCTTCCCCTCTTTCTTCCCCCCTTCCTTCCCCCCCCCGTTCCCCCCCCCGTTCCCCCCGCGTTGCCCCCGTGTTCCCCCCGCGTTCCGCCAATTTCCCCCCCTGCCTTGTAGCGCCCTGGGAGGGCGGTTGGAGTGGCGAGGCCCGACCGACCGGCCGGCCGACGGACCCGCAAATTGGGTGACGGACCGACCGACAGAGTTGGCCTGTTACGGATTCCACAAGGGCTCGATGCCCGGTTTATCTTTTTGTTGTTTCGGTTGCATCCCGTTTTCGGTCTGGCACCCCTTTTCCAAACCCCTCCTTTGGTACCGTAGGATTTTGGACAACTGGCGCCATGCTGCAATTCGGGCGCCACTTTCAAATACCACATTTTTCAGTTCTTCCCTCGGGGCCTCTTATGACATGCCCTTGGTACCGTACGTGTCACCGGTACTTAGACGAGCTCCCTGTATGGTACGGGGACAAGTCTCATACTAGTTTTCTGCTGCTGTACTCATACTCAGTGTGACTTACTGTTTCGGCATTCAGAATCCAAGACTTCGACTTTGTGCCTTGCCTCACGCTCGTTACAAGGCCGGTGTCGGGAAAGCGAGCGGGCGAGCGGGAAAGCGAGCAGGCGAGCGGGAAAGCGAGCGAGGAGGGAGCGAGGAGGGAGCGGGAAAGCTAGCGAGGAGGGAGCGAGCAACGAGGAGGGAGCGAGGAGGKAGCGAGGAGGTAGCGAGGAGAGAGCGAGCGAGGAGGGATCGAGGAGGGAGTGAGAGGGAGCGAGCGAGGAGGGAACGAGGAGGGCACGAGGAGGGAGCGAGGAGGGAGCGAGGGAAGTGGAAGCCAGTGAGCGAGCGAGGAGGTAGCCTTCCCCCCCTTCCCCGCCTTCTTCGTCTTCTTCTTTTTCTTCTTCTTCTTCTTTCTTCCTCTTCTTCTTTCTTCTTTCTTCTTTCTTCTTTCTTCTTTTTCTTCTTCTTGTTCTTTCTTTCTTCTTCTTTTTCTTCTTCTTCTTCTTCTTACTTCTTTTTCCTTTCTTCCTCCTCTCTCTTCTTCTTCTTTTTCTTTTTCTTCGTCTTCTTGTTCTTCCTCCTTTCTTCTTCTTCTTCTTCTTCTTCTTCTTCTTCTTCTTCTTCTTCTTCTTCTTCTTCTTCTTCTTCTTCTT